GTTTAATATCTGAATTTCAATGACAAGGAGTGAATTCCTGTTGCTCTTTTTAGTAGGGTTGCCGTTCTCGTAGACTTGCTGCTATCCAAGACTTGCAGGCTCATTATGCTATGCTAATTTATTCATACCTGGTAGTGGGTTGGGGGGAGAAGAGAGCTGGATTCGGTGCCTTGCCCAAGGGCATTAGTGCGAAACGAACGTCACAGACTCGACCAAAAGCTGAACCCGACACGCCGCTTTTACCTTGCGCACGGATTAAGATAACGGCAAGAGAAGAAATACCAGGAGATTTGATTGGTGAAAAACTGCAATAAAAAAAAACGGCTTTAGGGTTGTAAAAAGCCTTAACGCTGCACCTCAGCCTCTCCTCCCCACTCCCCGCCATTTCTGTTAGGCTCGGTTTATACTGAACGAATCGGCCAAATGCGATTGCCAGATGCACGTACAATTATGAGGCTCAGAAGATGTTTACGAAAGAATCACACGAAGAACTCCTGGATTTTCGATATTTCGGTGCGGTGTGGTTTCGAGAGACGATCCCTGGGGTAGACCTACAGCGCCGCCCAGGTGCCCGTACGACCATTAGGCTTTGATGTCGAACCGACATTGTTTACTCTGTAGATAAGCATGCCGAGACTGACGCTTCCTATTCGCTCTGCTAAACGTTGCAAATATTTGATGCACGGAACACGCAAGCACCAATAGAAAAAGAGATTCGTTCACTCACACACACACACACACATACAAAAACACACAGGTGTATATATATATATATATATATATATATATAAGGGTGGGAGTGAGGTGATATATATATATATATTTATACATATGCGTGTGTGTATGTGTATGGATGTGTATGAGTGTGTGTGAAAGCTGGATAGCTGAAATGTATACATATATGTATGTGCGTGTATAGGAATTTATATATATATATATGTGTGTGTGTGTGCGTATGCGTGTGTGTGTGCAGTTTTATGTTTGTGAAAATTAAGATGTAGTATATATAAAAAATTTTTATACACACACACATACGCACACACATATATTTATGGGTGGGAGTGAAGTGATTATATATATATATATATATATGCATATATATGTGTGTGCCTGTGTGGATGTCGATGTGTTATATATATGTGAAAGCTGGATGGCTGAAATGCATACATATATGCATGTGTGTGTATAGGAATGTATATATATATATATATATATATATATATATATATTTGTGTGTGTGTGTGTGTGTGTGTGTGTGTGTGTGAAGGTTAAGATACTCCTATATATAAAAAGAAATATTTTTTTTAAACACGCATTATATATAAATATATATATATATATATATATATATATATATATATATATATATATATATATATAATAATTAATAATTCATCGTTGGGGATATTCTTTTTTTCAAATTTTTTATCGGTATCACCCCATGCAAGGCAGTAAAGCCACTAAGACACAAGGGGTTACAGGGTGTGGAAGAATTAGAACAGAAACATTAATAATGAGCGGGAAGAGAAAAGAGTAATCATGAGGATAGTAGATAGCGATTGACGTTTCATTTAGATTTTTGCAGATTAAAGCTGACTGGAAATCATGGAGCCGGAAAGGTGTTCCACAAGTGAGAAGTGCGAGAAAAGAAACTGTTAGCATAGAACTTACGGTTGCATCTAGCCTACTCAATAATTCGTATGACCTGGACGCCAGGCTAGTACTGCGCTTAAATTTAAAAAGTCTAGGTGCCACAGCGAAGAGCTCATCCGAAGCATTACCATGACAGTGTTTATAGAAAATACATAGATAAGCAACCTGACGGTGGTGGGAAAGTGACTGAAGCCGAGCTGCCAGATCAGGATGAATAATATTGCTGATTCTTCTTTGGATCTTATTAAGGCGCTCAAGGGGCACCGAAGTTTTAAGCATGGACGAATGGTAGACTTATAGATATGTAAGATAGATTCGGGAGAGAACAAGTGCCTCGTACAACATAGTGAACCAACTTTCTTAGTAGATGCCCGCGGAATGGCTTCAATATTATAGTCTTTCCACTTCATGTCAGCTGAGAAAGGAGGACTCCAAGGTCAAGACCATGCATTTTCGACTGTACATGCAGCCATCTTCAGGCATGGAAATTATTTTGATTTTAGTAAAATTCAGGTAGCATCCGAGATGAAAAATGTAAATGCGAATCGAAATGTTTTTTTTAAATGTATTATTGTTAACGGATACAAACTTTGAAAGTTGAAAGTACTTGCAAATTAAAGAAAGATCTTATACAGCTTATAATTTTAAAAAACAAGGATCATAACATTCATCGAGTGATTTGTAGGTTAATGCAACTTTAAAATTTTGTTTGCAAAAGGTCGCCATGTTATATCATTAACTTTACTAATCTCTTTTTTTTGTATGAATGATTTATATATATATATATATATATATATATATATATATATATATATATATATATATATATATTACACCACATTATGTTATGCATTCGGTCCCTGTGTATTATAGCAAACATTCTGTTCTTAGATAGCAGACTGTCTTCTTTAACCTGAGCCAAGTGTTTATTCGATACATTACACTAAGAATACGATTAAATAAAGTTCCTGATACAAGCGTGACTGATTTTTTAAATAGTTTCACTCCATGGAAGGTGACAATGCCACTAAGACACAGGGGATTATAGAAAGTGAAAGTGAAATCGAATGAGAAGACTGAGAATGGGTAGGATGGGGGAAAGGACAAATAAAGGAACGGGCTTCAAGAAGACATAAGATGGCGATTGACGTTACATTTAATTTTCTTTGAAGATTGTAGTTATATCCGGGAAGCAAGAAATCGGAAGGGAGTTCCACGGGTGGGAAGTGCGAGAAATGAAATAGCGTAGAAGTGGCGGTTGTATTTGGCTAATTCAACAGGAAAACGGTGAAATCTAGTTACCAATCTAAATTTATGTAATCAAACCACCAGGGGAAGAAAGCTCATCAGAAGAGTTGTCATGAAAATATTTGTAGAAAAGACAAAGGGAAGCCACGCCATGTCGGTGAGAATGTGACTGAAGCCGAGATGGCATGTCAGGATCAATTAAATTACTCACCCTACTTTGGATTTTGTCAATAAAGTTTCATCAAATGACGTATTTCGAACCTTAAATACATGAATTATTATAATTCATATGAAAGACGAGATTTGTAAGATGAGACTTTCGAAATATAAATTTACGCTTTTTTCGGAGAAGTTACTGGCTTCCCTCGTTGCCAAAGAAGTTTTGGGGCGGAGATTCCCAATGCTCCCGGTGTTTTTGTTGCTGAATGCACATTTTTTTTTTCAGTCGCGAACACAGTTATCAAGAAATAATGAATTAAACTAAATAAGCAAAGAGCTATGTAAAAAAAAAAAAAAAAAGAAGAAAATAAACAGTAGTTAAACCTCAATTATACATCTAAAAAAAAAAAACGTAGAATAGAAAGACAGAAAAATAATTTTGGTTTCGGCTTGGAAAGATTTGGGTAATTTTTAATTTGCATCTATGATTTTTTTTAAGGAAAGGGACGTTCTGACGTAGCCCATTTGACATGGCTAATTCGGCGTCGCTGATTCGGCGTCGCTGATTCGGCGTAGCCGATTCGACACAGGAATTTTTCGGCTGAGGGACGATTAGGCGTCAGATTAATATTTCGTCGTTTGCTCTTGCTCTCTCTCTCTCTCTCTCTCCCTCTCTCTCTCTCTCTCTCTCTCTCCCTCTCTCTCTCTCTTAGTAGTCAAATTAGTACTTCGTCCAATTTAAGACAAAGAATAGTTGGAGACATTTTTAAATTTAAGCAAAAGAGTAGTTGGGGGCATTTTTAAATTTAAGTAAAAGAGTAGTTGGGGGCATTTTAAATTTAAGCAAAAGAGTCGTTGGGGGCATTTTTAAATTTAAGCAAAAGATGAGTTGGGGGCATTTTTAAATTTAAGTAAAAGAGTAGTTGGGGGCATTTTTAAATTTAAGCAAAAGAGTAGTTGGGGGCATTTTTAAATTTAAGCAAAAGAGTAGTTGGAGGCATTTTTAAATTTAAGAAAAAGGAGGTTGGAGGTATTTTTATATTATATTTCCTTCAGTGCAGCTTCATATTTTTCAGTCGTCAAAGCCCTTTTATTCCAAATTGAAACAAATATTTTATCAAAACGTGGAAGAAACAAAGCAATACACGAGGGATACATTTTTAATGCAACGAGCAAGAGGGAACCCGAATTAAAGTTTTTGGCGATGTGAATCGAAAGATCGATGTCAATTATTTTTTTAAATACAATATTCTTAATTTAAGTTTTTAATTTACATTATTCCGTTACTGATTTAATTTGATCCTTAATTCCCTCAATGAATAAAAAGTCATATTGAAAGTTGGGTGTTTTCAATGCTTTTATCCTTTGGGGGGGGTTGCCTCCTGTCAAAGACAGTGACGTCGAAACAGTCGGACGCCTCAACGGCTGTACCGTATAGTTCAATTATTTTTCTGACTCTGAATTGGCCACGCCGAAACATACCAAACCCCCTTTTTCCACCTTATCAAAAGTTCATAGACAGCACATTCACTCTGGCACAGGGCTCTGTCCCTGTGCTGGTGGTATCACGGCTACGACTAGCTTGGACCAGCTATGACCAGCGGACGTTAAAAACTGACCTTGTGTCATAACCTGACTCAGTGGGTGGTGGGGTCAAGTAAATCTCACTCTTAAAAACTTTATTCTTTTCATTTTTTTTTACTACTTCACGTGGTATCGATATGGCTTGATCATCTTCAAAGTATATTTTCCTTATCAGACCAGTATTTTATTATACTTGTGCTTGGTCCTTCCTTTGTTAGTTCGCGCGATCGTTACGCCTTGCCAATACCGCATACATAATGGACAATTCAGTTTTGATCGCGTGGGAAGAGGGGAAACACTATCTGGTTTCAGTGAGAAAATAAAAGAAAGAAGGACGAGTTTAACGTCTCCTGCTAATGCTCACGTTGAAACATTGGTTCTAGTACGATCACCGAAGTTAAGCAACGTCGAATCTGGTCAGTACCTAGATGGGTGACTGCTTGAGAATACCAGATGTTGTAAGCTTGGATGTGCGGATAGTGAAATGGATAAAGTCTCCGAATGAGAAATCGGAGAGAGTTGTTCCATTTCCAGTTGGGTTCGTTATATTCACTTCCGCGCAAATATATTTGGGAAAGGCATGAATACACGTCCCCCCTTCCCGCTCCTATGTTTATGAGTTAATTTGTGCCCGATCATTTTGTTTCAAAAATTATGAAACAGCATATATATATATATATGAAGAAAAATATACATAAAAAAACAAACAAAAATCTTAATATGCAATTATACAAATTTTAATATTTTTTAAAGTCAACGTCGGACGTTTCGGTCTATAATTAGACCATCTTCAGGACAACGTTGACTTTATATATAATATTAATATTATAATTATATATTAAGATTTTTAAACATTTTTTTATATATTTTCTTCATACTGTCGGATCTATATTCATATATTTTTTATATATATATATATATATATATATATATATATATATATATATATATATATATATATATATAGTAGCTTGGATTTATAAAATAAATATATTTAGCTCTATCAATGATATTGAGTGATTTCTAATAAAGTACCACATATTATAATATATATAAAATTGCATATATATATATATATATATATATATATATATATATATATATATAAATATTTGTGTTTTGTGCACACAACACATATATATATATATATATATATATATATATATATATATATATATATATATATATATATGATCATTATAACAGGGTGTTTTACAATGAAAAAAAAAAGACGACCTCTCGAGGGACATGAGGACTTTTGAGGTAGGTTCAGTAGTAAATGCCCCTCATAATATCTGCTAATGTTACCGTGGAAAGCTGAAGTGGAATGGTCCCCTCACTCTCCTGACCTGAACCCTCCAGATTTCTTCTTCTGGAAGTTCCTTAAAAAGGACAACATCAACCAGGGCAACCCTGGCACCATTGCTGAATCGAAGGCGGCCATCACTGAGAAGATTCAAGCGATCAGTCCGGAGGAATGTGCACGCTTTATCAACAACTTCGCATTCTGCAGCGCCTTCAACTGAACGGCGGACATTTTGAGCATCTACTCTAGGGTTGCTCTTGAGTTTTTTGGTTCATGTTTGAGACTAAATGGTTTCAGATTCTAAAATGTTAGCCTTTTACCTTCAATAAATGTATTACTCATTTGTGGTCCTTGATTTGTGCCTGATCATTTGGTTAAAAAATTGTGAAACACTCTGTATTTAACCGTAAGTTTTATTCTAATTTCTTTACTCGCACTTCTTGCTTGTGAAATTCCCTTCCGATATCTTGCTCCCTGCCATATACAATCTTCAAAAATTTAAATTTCCTGCTGCGGCACAGGGAGCCAACTTTTATATAAAAATATAATATGCTTCCAGGATGACATTTGTGTTGGTGTCATTATTAATGATAAAGAATTAAAATGGAAAACCAGTACAGTTTTGAATAAGTTTAAAAATACTGGATTAACAATTAAAGAAAAAAATGTGTGAACAAAACTAAAAACTTTTGTGAGATTCAATATCTAACGAAAGCATATCACCAGACCAACGGTTAATTAACAAAATATTAAAAGTTGAAGCGCCAAAGAACAAAAAAGAATTGGAATCTTTCTTAGGACTTGTAAATTTCTACAGACGATATGTAGAGCGATACTCCGAATTGACAGAACCTTGTGCTTCTTTAAGAAAAAAAAAAGAATGTGGAATTTATTTGGACAGAATAACAAGTAGCATTTGAAAATTTAAAGGCCGTTCTAGTAAAGAAGCCAGTAGTAAAAATATTTGACCCTAGAAAGGAAATAGTAGTAACCAATGATGCAAGTGACCACTCAATTTTGTGAATATTAGCTCAGGATGGTCATCCTATTATGTATCTCTCAAGAAAATTGTCAAATGTCGAAATGAACTAATCAAATATTGAGAAAGAAGCATTGGCCATAATATGGACGACAATTAAACCTCGTCAGTTTTTGATTGGAAAGAAATTCCTACTAGATCTTTAGAATTCATATTTAATTCTAGAAGGAACTTCCTAAGATAACGTCTTCTAGATTGGCGTTAATGTTAATATCGTTTGATTTTGATATTGAGTATATGAAAGCATTCTGCATGTAGACGCTTTGTCAAGATTGAAGTTTATTAAATCTAAAAGTGAGAAAGATGATGAAAAATTCGGAGATACTTTCTTACTCTGGGTCAAAAATGATATTTTGTCCATAGACAAATTAGCTGATGATAACGAAGACAGATGCCATATTGAACAGTTTATTGTTCAGTATAAAAAAAATAATAAGTTGAATAATTGCTCACAGACAGAAAGACGTTTTAAAGAGGTTAAACACAAAACTAACTGTAGAAAAGGGTTTAACTTGTAATGGAGACGTAGTGGTTCCGCCAGCAACGCAAAGAAGCAAAATTATAAAAAGTATATATGATAATGATCATTGCGGAATAACGTCTACGCAAAGGAGACTGAGGCTGAAAACATGGTGGCCAGGCTATTCTACAGATGTAGAAGAATCCGTAAAAAGGCGTAAAACGTGCATTGAAAGAAGAAAATTCAAACTCACATATATGGCCTGAAAAGACCCAACATTGGGATAGAGTACGCATGGTTCATGCTCATGTTAATGGAGTGGGATTATTACTAATAATGATAGATACGTGAAACAAGCGTTAACGATCTTTTTTTTTTCAAGAAATGGAATTCCGAAAACGCTAGTCTCTGACAACGCTCAGAGTTCTATGACGAGGAACTATACCAATGGCTGAACAAAACTGGATACAAACCATATAAATAACCATCGTACCATCTGCAATCAAACGAATTCGCGGAACTATAAAAAATGGAATTAAAATATGTGTACAAAGGAAAGAAAAGACAATGGAAAGAAAAGACATTTCTTTCAACATTGTTGCTAAGCTCTAAGAAAATGGCGACAAAGATAAGGACAATCGTCCGAATAATGTAAATAGTGTAAACAACGCGCATGCGCGAAATTAATAATGTAAAATGGTGACAATTTACCCATCACACCCTATATATATATATATATATATATATATGCACACGCACAACAATTTAATTGTAATTTTTTATTATTTTAAATTGTCCCCCAAAATAATTGTTTTGTACTTTAAATAAGAGAAATTATTATACATTGTTAAAAAAGTGATACATGAATTTTTGTTGGAAATTTTATTGTAAAAAAAAAAGAAAAATAGCATTTTATGATTAAATTTTTGCTGTCGTCAAAATATCCTCCTTTATCCTTGATTACTGCAGCACAAGTTTTTGTCATTAAAAAAGAAGTTTCTCAAAGTATAAGTTAGACAATTGATTCCATTCTTTTTTTCAGTGACTCTAAGAGCTTTTTTTCATTTTATTTTTTTTTTGATGGAACGTTTTCACTCTTCAGTCAAGTTCATCACATGCTCATTCTGAGGGTGGCTTCAAACTTTTGAACTATAGTGTATATATATATATATATATATATATATGTGTGTGTGTGTGAAAACATATAAAAATAGGAAAGAACTCGTTAGGTAAATAATATTCTTAATATATATATATATATATATATATATATATATATATATATATATAATAATATATTATTATATAATATATATAAACAATATATTTATATAATATATATATATATATATATATATATACAATATATTTTTTTTATGTAACGATGGAATCATATTTTTAAATAATTAATTATATATATATATATATATATATAGGCGAACAGTTAAACTTGCTTGCTGTAATGTATGTTGCGTAAAAATTTCCATCAGCTCAATTTTTCTCCCAACTCGGATGTCCGCAAATGGCGGATGTCGGGGAGCCCCCCGCTTGGCTAACCAATTAAAAACCATTTAAATCCAATATCTTGTTAAAAATACCAACGTTTTTTTTTCAAGTTACCCTCCGGTGACATTTGATGTAATAATTTGATAAATTAAATAAATTGTTGAAAACAGATTTTAATTAACGGAATTAAATTTTTTCCATTTTTTGCCAAGAGAATAGATTTTTTTTTTTTAATGTCATTTCTGAATATGACCTTTTAGTTTTCTTCGTAAATTTGTCTAAGATCTTTAAAAAAATGTCTGGAAATATAATCAGGTTGGCGCTGAACATATTTTACAATTAGGACTAGCGTTAATTTGTACCCATAAAGAAATTTCTTATTCTTTTATGTGCCCTGTTCCTTCTAGACGGGGGAGGAAATTACTCTCCACAGCTTTCTATAGTTTGTAGTTCTAAGCCGTGTTTATTCTCTCCCACTTAGTATCCCACCCAGTTCGTGTTCTGACATTCATTTACTCCAGCTTTTTTTTCCATCTGCACCGTTGCCTTCATGATACCCTGTGTGCATCAAATTCTCTAAGCCTTCTTTCCTTATTATGCGTCCAAGACATTTCAACTCTTTCTGATTCTAAGCAAAAAGTTTTTGTTTTCTTCCCAATATCCTTAAAACGTCCCTATTGCTCATATGTTCCATTCATGGTATTCTCAGCTCGTTAGGTGGGTTACCCGCAGCTTCAACCTGATCCGCTGCACAGATTAAAATAATTGCTTGATTCCACTTGAAGTTTTCTCAGTCACTGCAATCCCACACAGCAGCTCTCTAACTTGGGCAGCTTTTGAGCCTAGAATTGAGTAAACATTAGTATAAAAAAAAACTTATCTAAAATCTAGATCTAATCTTTCTCTAAGATGTATCATGTAACTGGAAGCATGGCGAAAAATGATTTGAGATGAGTTTCCTATAAAAAAAAAGATTGTAGTATTGCTATTTAGTGACGGAGAGTGAGAAGAAAGGTCTAAGCATAAACTACAAGAAGACAGAATGCGTTGTCATCAGCAAAAGGATGAGCCCGAAATGCGATTTGCTGGTCGGGAACACTAGAATCAAGAAGAAGCGGAAGTTTAAATACCTGGGTAGTGTTTTGACAGAGG